ATTTCTGAATTGCGACAAAATATATATGCTATAACTATTTGACATGGACTAAAATTGAAAAAAAGTTGAATTTAGTTGCACCATGTGCCATAACTATTTGACATGGACTATTGTGGCCCCAAGTTACCCCACATAATCACTTGCCATCTGAATGCCAACAAAATTTGGTCCAATTTGTTGACTGCCTTATCTTTTCATCCTTTGATCAACCCGACAAAGACAGTAAATTGACAAAGATAATAAACCCATAAGCACAAATTTTCCCCCAACACGGTTGGCAACGTAGTGATCAAATTACTCTGATTCAGGGTCAATAACTCCGATTCGGATCCTTGATCTCTTCTTCACTCCGGGTCGACCTGATGAGTTCACCGGAGTATTTGAAAAGCGCCGGAATATTTTCAGAATAAGATTCTCCGACGATCAAATTAGTTTTTCGGTGTAGAGAAATAATATGCGTCACGTATCTTGACATGATAAAGATTAATAGCATAGAACATGTTTATGGTAAAACCCCTGCCTTTATATAGGAGGGTAATTACTTGATGTCCAAGAGTATATCATCTTTGTTCAAGTCGGTCATGTGAGTAGTCCACAACTTTTTGTATTAGCTCGATTAGCCAATGCTTCGGCCCAATTAGGTCCTTAGGTCGACTGATCGACTTAACGGTTTTAGAGAGAACCGCTATCTGTACCATATCACCGCTATATTACATAGTTTCTTCATTTTATAGCATATATACACACACAATATAGACACCATTGGATTACATTTTTTCACAATTCACAAATCCACCGAAAAAAGAAAAAAATAAAATAAAAATCCAGCTAAAAATCAAGGATTGGAGTAATAAAGCTCATAAGCAGACAAATCGAACGGGTCGCCCAGTAGATTCGCAGAGACCCGAAACGGGTCATCACCCGAAAACAACCCGAAACCCGGCAACTGTATCCCCTGTTGTACCTCGTCCCCAAAATCCGGCACACTTGTACCCTCCGACGGCCCCAACACTCCCGCCGCCACGTCATCGCAGAACTGTCCCTGCCACGATCCGAACGGGCCGAAACCATGGCACGCGAAATCCGCGCCGTCCATCTCTGGCCCCGCGGAAAACTGATCGAGCGCCCGATCGATCGAGCCATCCATGGTCGCTGCCTTCCGATGGTACTCGAAAACCTCGCCGCCGCCCTCGATCCGGATGCAATTTCCCGGCGATTCGGTGCTCGGTTCGTCTCCCTCCGCGCTCGGGCTCGCGTACTCGGCCAAGCTGTCGGCGATCCACGGGCCGGATTCGAGCCCGGTATCGGGTTTCGGGCCGGGCCGGGCGGACCTTGCTCGGCGGCTCTTCCGGCGGCCGCTTCCGACTGGGACGCTGCGGAGGGACCCACCCCTGGTCCAGTAGCGGCGGCAGGCTCTACAGAGGTAGCGAGGCTGGGAGAGGCTGTAATTGTTGTAGTAGCAGAACTTGGTGTTGGCAGAGGCGCAGCGGGGGCAGCTGGGGGCCGCCTCAGTGATGCTGCTCTGCCACCTGGCGGCGCCGGCGGGCGGAGGACGGCGGCCGATTGATGGGTGGCCGAAGATCAAGTAGGGGTCAGTAGTGGTGGTGGTTCTAGTGAACATTTAAGAAATTTTGAGATGAGAAAGGAATTGAGATAGAGACAAGATTTTTGTGGTGGTGGGGTGACAAAATTTGAGTGAGGGGAGGGGAATGTATATATAGATACTGTATATACATGTGGAGTTATATATATAGGTGGGTTCTTTGCTCGCCTAATTTGATCTTACCAGCGCGGACAAGGTTTCGATTCGTCAGATCACACTTACATGCACAAACTCTAGCGAGTGTGTATTGATGTGACGAATTGAAATATGGTATGGGCAGTTGTTGATTTTCTAAATGTTAGGCAGGTCAAGTATGTATTGATATGATGGCTCAGAATCTAATGTAACCTAACCGTTAGACGAGTTGACTTGTCATACTCGATGAACACAAATGTATATTTGTGTAATTAAAGTCATTTGTTTGTATTATTTTTTCAATATTTTCTAATAAAATTATGCATGATTGTAAAGGGAAATGTATTCCATGTTAAATGGTTAGACATGTTAAATGGTTAGAGAGGTCAAACAGAAAACCTACCAAGACTCTGGCATGCCTTGAACTTCTATTCTTTGGTACTTTGCTTTGATTCTCCAATTTACATTAGTTATTACCAAGTGCGAGTTTTAGACAGCCACACCAAAGTTCAATAAGTATTTTGCATTTCACAAAATCTTCATAAAAGTGAAGAAATGCATCCGTACAATAGAGAATTTCACATTTGGTGAGTGACATTGGACAAGACAATAGAAGTACAGTCCTTGTCCTTGGGCGGTTTGCGAGCCGTTGGGACCATAACACACATCACACAAAGGCATGTGAAGCAAAATCGCATTTTAAAGACATTATCATAATGTGATGAGACAAAGAGGGATATTATATAGCAAAGGCGTTTACGTTTCGGTAGCGTGGCATTTCATGATTGGGGAGTGTGAGCGCTATTGATAGGTAAAAGTCAATGTAACTCGAGTTATTCGACCCTATATGTAACTACATTTGAATCAACACACATAAGTGTTGACGAGCTAAGCTCAAGCCCTTAAATGAGACGAGTTCGGCTCAGCTTGTTAACTTAACGAGCTCATAATTGAATTCGAACTCGAGTTCGTTTCTTTTTTTAATATTAATTAATCGAACTCGAACCTTAATGAGTCAGAATTAAACTTTAACGAGTCGAACTATAAAAAATTACATAAAAAATCATATTTTTAAACTTTTGTGTACCGAGCTCGACTTGTTTATAAGTAACTAGCGGAGCCAAGCTAAGCTCATGGACTGCTCGTTTAACTTAACAGCTCATGACACATATATACTTACACGACCGATAGTAAAAAAAAATCGATAACTGCACTGTAGTCACCGTTAGCTTGAAATTAATTAACCCAATGCACTCAATTGTTACTGTCATATTTTAGCATCGCTGAGCTCTTGAAAATCAACAATAATAAATTATATCTAAAAAATAATGCGAACTATTAACATGAAGATAATTTATAGAAGAGAAATTTAATGTATGACAGAAATATAATAATTTTGCAAAGTAAATAAAAGGAACTTACATAGGATTACTCTAATTACTATTATCAAGTTTAACGTGGTATGATAATTAAAAAAAGAAATCTAATATGACATGATTAATGATGATAAATCCATGTCGAGTATTCATCACGCCATGTAATTTTATTATCAAAGTTATCATTTTTTTATGGTTGATGACTGATACATGTTTTAATATTACATCAAGTTGGTTTTGACGTCGTTATCCCTTCTATTCTCAACCAGGCAAATCGTAAATGCCCATTAATATCACACTCTTAATTTCTATTTTTTTTCCCCAATTTCAACACGAGTTAAATTCTTGCAATAAGAAAAAAAAAAAAAATATATCAAGGTATGGTTAATTATTAGTTTGTAGGATTCATTTATAGGGCATTTGGAGATTTATGAGCACAACATGATTCATGTGGGTGTTATGGGTCATTTTCAAGCATGATATATGTACAATATATCAACACTAAAAAGGGTTGTGTGACAACTATCTTATAGTGTAAAACTATTAAATTACTATAAATATGAAATGTTAAGCAAGAGGGAATACTAGTAAAACAAACTAGCATTTTCTGTAATTAAGCATCATTTTGTTTAACTACAGCATCACCATTCCACAAACATGGAAGTTGCAAGCTCTCGAAAAACTTTGTGTTTTGCTTAAAGAAAAGCTCAAAAGGCTGCACTAAAGATAGTAAAGTCCCTAACATGAAACATGGTCTTGTATGATAATCAGCATTTTGGGGCTAAATTAGATGTTTGTCCCGCAAAACTCTCTAATTTAATTGCTTCTTAAGTAGTTGTTTGAAATCGCTAATTATTTGGAATAAAATTATGATCAAATTGATTGTTTTTTTACACTTTGAGTAATCATTTAATGCAATCATCTAGTCAAAACTGTTAATTCAATCAACTATTCCCTATAAATTAACTAGTTCAATCAGATATTCGTCATACAAGACCAATACCAGACATGACATTAATTTCATAATTTAATAGAAAATCTTACTATACAATAAATCCGCTTAAAAATGACAATCCCCAATTTCGTTGAGGTAATAGCTAGCTTGGCTCGACTTGGCTGCCATGTTTGACAACTCCATAAAGAGCAAGACGAAACAAACTAACAATTATTACGTACTATATGTTGTTAATTTGTTTCTCGTACTTATATCTATTGATGTCCAAAACACATTATTGATCAAGAATTAAAAAAAAAAATGTATAACATATTCTTTGATTATTAATTGAGGAAAAAATGTATTAACAACAGTACTTTACTCAATTTCATTCTTCTAAGCAATATGTAAGATACTATTCAATAACCTATAATCATCGTCAACAAGGCTCCGGCTTCTTTTCCCGCGTAACCCAATTTATGTGAATCGACAAATCGAGACTCATCACGTTCACCCAATGACCCTCCATGGCAATTATACTGAATCTTCATTAGCAACTTGTACGTGTGATAATTCAACGATACATACCTAATCCACGATATAAACGGAGGAACTTGCTGCCCCAAATGATACCAATTTTTAGCTAATTAAACTTGTTTGTAACATATATATGAATTTATTGTACCGATCGACTGAAGAAATTATGTTCAAAGAATGTATAGATTCATGATTCATCTGCATAACACACAACCGTTAAGCAGCTATAATTTTTTTTTTTTTAAAAGGTCATATGCTTATACTATGAAATTCAAATAATAATGTTTTGAATTTGACTATATAAGTAGTGGATTAGATTATCTTTTACCTTGATTAAGAAGCCAGCAGATAACATAAAGGTCATGACAGTGACTGAAGCCAACGTTGTTGCTTTCTTCACATCCATAAAGGCTGCCCCTATTGCTAACCCCAATCCCTGGAGATTAATTAATTAAATTAATAAAAAGATAATTCTTAAAATTGTAATGGAACATAATACGTAAATAAATGGAATTGGGACCACATATGCATATCTAGCAGCTCATTAAGGCGTTAGGTTTTCTAATGGTTCAGTAACTTTGAAAATTGTTCAATTTAAAAATACTTTTGGCCTGAAATAGACACATCATACAAACGCGTCCCGTTAACTTTCCAGCAAAAATTTGGATTAATTTATGCCAATTATCCTTAAAATTGCTCAGTAATTATTTCTTCTAAGTTGGGCCTAATTCTTCTATGTTGGGCCTATTTTGCCTCTCAAGTTCCTGAATGGTGGGGGACAGGGATCTGTCGAGAAAACCGAATTTCTTTCGGACCCGTAACGCCGTGCGTAGACTACGAGACCATTCATCGTAGTTCGTATCACCCCTTAATTTTACGTGAGTGACCTGAAGACCGTGATTATCGGAGAACCCGTGGAGAACAATTGTTGAAGAACAATGATTTTAAGACAGGATATCAGGTTGAAGAACAATGGCTTTAATGGAGGTTTTTTTTTTTTTTCCGTTGGGTAGGAGATAGAATTATGAGGGAAAAAAATTTGGTTTACAGCTAGAGTTTCTCTAATACCATGATAAACCGTGAAAATTGATTCATCCCAACTTGTTTACAGAATTTTACAAAGACTCAATAAATAGATACAAAGGAAACCCTAAAGATAACACTAAATTTCTAAGATACCAAATCTTATCTCTACTAATAATATAATATTCACAATATCACATTAACAGTTTTACGTTATAATTGATACCTTCGAACTGTAATATAGAACAAACGGTAATCAAGAATGTGTCGATAGATCATTTTTTTCTTTTTTTTTTCCTTATGCATGAGTTAATGATATATATAAATATATATACATATACCTTAAGAGAAATGGCAAATGCAGCTTCAGTCTGAATTTTCCTCAAACTGCATGAACTTGTATCGTCTTCATTGATCGGAAAAGGAGGGACTGATAATTATATATTCAAAATTGTTTTAACAATATATTCAATCTAATTGAGTTTGAAATTAAGTGGAAAGAAAGAACGAAACACTACCTGAATTGCGATTTCTTGGTGCGATTTTTGGAGGCAATGATGATGATTCGTAATGAGCTGCCAAAAAGTCAACCCCTTCAGTCTCGTTTATCGAGTTACTGTTTACATACGAGCCCGTCTCGTTAAATCTGCATGCAAATCGATTGTCCAGCTCATCAATGTTCGACAAAACAATAGGGCTCAACGAGATTGTTCAAGACAGGTGTGTTTTCTTTCGGGATTCTTCGTATTTGTCGAAACTTCGCATCCTTAATATGGATTTTTTCACACGATTTGTGCCTTGTTCTTGTTCTGTAATCCCCTTTTTTTTGCCATTATATCTGGATTCTTTCTATGCGAAGTTCTCAGATAAACCAGAATCTTCTTTTTGCTGCCTCTTTTCAGTGTAAAGGAACAAGCTAATAGCTTCAAGCTGTCAACTGCATTGTAGAATAAAGTTAGTAAGAAAACAAGCATTATTAGAAGTAAACAAGAATCAGTGATGTATTAAAGCAT